GACTAAATGCAAGGCTGCTTGCAATGAGAGAGGAAAGTACATAAATTATTGGTTGGTCTTTGTATCCTTCTGCCCATACGACTTATAGTTTTGGAATTCCCATCCCATTAGGCAGACTCACGTATTCATCAGCAACATTTCCCTTAATTAATATGAAGAAACACCTAGACTAGTCATGTGGAGTTAATGAATGGTTTTACCGAGAAGCTATGACCACAGGATCACCAAATAGCATTGCGAGGGTTATAGGTTACAGTTAACCTCCTCCGTAAATGGGGACTTAGGACTGTCGGAATAAACTGAGCACTTCCGCAGGCTTCATCAGAATAGAGGTCGCAGCCATGTCCGAATAAGGATCTAGTTGTCAGGTCACTAATTAAAGACTTGGTATCTTTGCCTAAGCAAGAACAGATAGGAAGGATCTACAGCTACTTACCTGTGCAGCCTTTCAGAAATAAACACAGACGTGCTCCGACCAGTATTTCACTGAAGTAATAAGATTTACCTAAGAACGGGCGGTTACTCATTCTAATGGTGAATGGCAACAATATGATCTGTCGTTGTCTATTATTAGATCAACCTTTGGAACTGTTGTGTGAGGCAATTTGTCTCGATACGCTTGAAGTTAGTCTTGAACAAGAATGAAATTGTAGCACATGACCACTGTCCACCGTTTGCTTCGTGTAGAATTCTGGCAGTTCAGCCACAAAGTCATCAGAAAAGAGATATTTAAACTCTATTTATTCTACAGTAAGCTTTACCAAACTCATTCCTTCTAAGAGCAATCAAACTACAATCCAAGACAACAAACAGACACCTAGTTATTCTATTCTATTAGCTGGATGAAATATAAGTGACTACTAGCTGTTACTCAATAGAGTACCAAGCGTAGCGGTATTCCTAAAGTAATGAAAATTGGTAGTCAAATCTCTCACTTTATATACAGAGCAAATCCTGTAGTCATCATAATGTGTTTTGTTGGGTAGTGAATAGGTAAGCAACTCTGATAACATATATCGTCCGGGAAGACACTGATAGCCACTACTGTTAGCGAACTCCACCTCACTCACTGCCCGTTGCAGGACTTACGCCAGGGATGACACCCACACTATCGCGTACATGAAGTGGAAGCTTAGGATGAATAAAATACACAATCCAAAACATATTGAGGTTGACTAGATAACTGAATGAGTAGTGAGTGACCAGGAGTTTTGAGTTGAAATTGTACTTTATTACCCAGAAATGTGGTGTAACATGGCCATAAAAACAAATTATGCGAGAAAAGACTTAGTGTATGGAACTACCAAAAAATATAACAAGTTGGCTATCACAAGTGTCTGTTCTGTGAAACCAATCGACGAAATATTATATACCTGATGTTTCAGACAGAAACATACTCCTATCAGCCACTGTAGCTATACAAATCTGTTTTATATACTTTAGTTTGAGTTCCTACATATCAGTGACAGTGAAATTCTTTGTACCTCTACATAAAGTATTGCAGGATGAACAAACAATCAATAAGTAGTCTCCCTTCCGCCATTATGATAATGACCCACTGGCTTACAACATAGACATGGCCTTTTTTACCACTAGTGGAATCACAGAACATAAATAAAACATGCTGAGAGCCGTGGAACTTTAATATGACCATGAATAGTTATCCAATAAATGACTCTGCATGTTTAACAACACATTTAATTTCACGAAAGTAAACAAGTTCTGTCCTTAAAATTAATATCAAAAAGATGTAGTGCTGTTCATTTTGAACACTTAGTTTATAACTACCTGTTTCACGTATCAAATGGACAAATTCAGATCTTGGATACACGTTTGCTGAGAGCGTCATGTACTAAGTAAATTAAGGAGACTTCAGTGATGCTATGTACGGATTTATACAAACAACCCAGTGTAATCAGTAATAACAGTATATGATGTATAATACAGTTTTATTTTTAGTCACACAGTAAAATTATGATGGCACAGAGGTGAATTAGTCATGAAAATACAAATAACGTATATAGAAACAACTCAGTGGGAAATATTACATAAATATTTTATAGAAAGAAATTATCTAACTGCGACTTCTGCGTCGATCACGTTCTTGTCGCTCTTTTGCACGCTTTAAGTCTCGTTCAAACGAACTCTCCCGTTCATTTAAAGATCTAGATCGGCGACGATCACGTGACCTAGACCTCGATCTACGTGAGTGATGTCGGTGTTTTTCACGACTGGACCTAAAAGCAAGGAATAAATTAACTCAAAATATGTAACACTATGAAAAATACTCTCCGGATAATCGCAGTAAAAGGTATAAAGAAGCCTTAAGGAAACTGAAAACAGATGAGATTTTAGTGAGCACCAAACCTGAAGCCTCAAGAGCCGTTATCATAGATAAGTCAGATGATTTAAGTAAAATGATAACTTTACTAAGCAGTGGTCTTAAATTTCAGATATTGTTACGTAAATGAGACAAAACAAAAAGGATTGAAAAACAGTTAATACAGTCAGCAAAAAGTCAAAACAACGGCTGTATTTCACCTGTTTTGTATAAAACACTAGGACCTGCGGGTACGGTGACACTCAGAATGCATGGCTTGGTTAAGATTCATAAAGGTGAATTGCCATTTAGACCAGTCTTCGAAACGTTTAGTTCACCATCCCATACAACTGTGAAATAGCTGAGGCAACCTCTACAGCCGTGCCACCGACGGTCTAACTACTTAAAACTCTTACGTAATTCTATGTTGGGGAAATTTAACAAAGTGCATCCAGTCATAAGTTTTACCATAGGAGCAGAACAAAATGTCTCTATCACGTTTCTGGATATCCTAATAACTAAACAAACAGATTTAACAATATGCAGACGCTTGCATGGGAAACCTACATCAACTAGGCAGTATACTGACTTTCAGAGTTTCGTCTCTCTACAATACAACCGTAATCTGGTTAGATGTTTGGTTCACCAGGCTAGTTGTTCGAATGAAATACGCAACGAATAACTCAATAATACTCTTGATCTTCTACGTAAAAACGGATATTCAACGAATTTCTTGAATAAACACATGGACTCAGCAAGTAAACGACCTAAGGTGCCCACAGTCACATGAAAGGTTAATTTTCCTAAGATTGAGGTTCATGGGAAATGTTAATAGTGAGACTGTATCACAACGCCCGGGAAAGGCTTTCAAAGGGAATTCGAACACAGCTAAGTTATGCTGGTTATTCACTAGTCAACCAATACTCAACTCAAGAAATAAAGACAAACTGCAATGCTTCGCCTCTTCTATGTGTATTTACCAGTTTAACTGCTCCTGTGGGGTTAGTTATACTGGATGTACGATGAGGGAAGTTCAGCGTCGAATTTTCTGAACACCTCCCGTCCTGGTTAGGCAAAAGTCCAAACAAAGCTATACACAGCTTAGTACTACATCATTGCATCGATATCGGATATCAGGTTGACACTAACAAAGCTTTTAAGATTATTTACCGTATTCCACTCAACCTTTCACATGCTCTACGAGTACTACTATCACATACAACAGGGGCAATCAGAATTCATCTGCACAAACCAAATCTTTGTGTTTGAAAGAAATCGGTGCGGCCTCTTTCTTTGCCTCAGTCGACTAAATAACATGAGTTTTAAAAAATGACTTCTCACTCCCCTTGTAACTATCATTTAACCTTGTTATTTTATTATGATTACTAATCTAGCTAATTCAATAACTTATTTTTGTCCTTGTGTTCCTACATGATTCCTCTTAGACGTGCTGCTCATACACCAGCAAGCTGTTTGGACATGATTCAATAGTTTCTACATAATTTGGCCTACGACTTCATGTCCGTTTGAAAAAGTTGCTTAGTAAAAGTATTAAGTGAGATGGAGTCAGCTGCTGCATCTGGCAACAGTCGGAAGCTGTTCCAACTCATACGAGCCACCGACAGCAAGAAACAAGGTGTCAGCGAGACGGTCTGTAAGGCAGATGGCACGCTAGTTACCAGCTTGAAAAGACACCTGGAACGCTGGGCAGAGCACTTCGAGAATCAGTTTAGCTAGCCACCAGCTTCAGTGTCTACTGTCATTAGCCCCAGTGCTCCTTGGTCGGTTAGTACCGACCCACCCACCGAAGCGGAGGTCCGTAGGGAACTCCAAGTATTGAAACGCAATAAGGCACCCGGCCAAGACAATTTACCCCCGGCTCATTTTAAAGATGGTGGCGACACTCTCACAATGCCTCTAACTGGGTTGTTCAAGAAGGTATGGGAGACAGAGAATGTACCATCAATATGGAACGAAGCTATTATCGTCCCCATCTTTAAAAAGGGTCGACGTAATTCATGTGACGATCATAGGGGTATCAGTCTGTTACCAGTCGCGTCTAAAATATTGGCTGCTGTCTTGCTTCGCAGACTGTGCAAAATACGTGAAGGATTGATTCGCGAAGAGCAGGCTGGGTTTCGTTCAGGTCGTGGATGCATTGATCATGTGTTCACCCTCCATCAGTTGTTGGAACACCGCCACACGTATTGCAGGCCAACGATCGTTGTGTTTCTTGATATTAAGGCTGCCTTCGATTCATTCGACAGAACTGTCCTCTGGAACTGTCTGTTAGAGAGAGGTGTACCTGAGAAATTTGTTAACATCTTGAAAGCCCTATACAGAAACACCTCAGGTAGAGTGAGGACATACAACCAACTATCACCACTGTTCCCAACCAACAGTGGGGTTAGACAGGGTTGCCCAATCTCTCCATTTCTCTTTAACTTTGCCATCGATGACATTCTGGAGTCAGTTCTGAAGAATGTGCGTGAAGGTGGTGTAGATCTGCTACCTAGAGATAGACTTTTCGACCTCGAGCATGCAGACGATATCGTCTTACTGTGCGATAGCATACAGGCTACCCAAATCGCACTTAATCAGTTGGCGATCAGTGTCTGTAAGTATGGTATGTGCTTTGCGCCGTCTAAGTACTGTTACAAGATTGGCAGGAGTCTGTACCTGCACTCACTCTTGCGGGTGAACAGCTTGAAGTTGTTGATAAGTTTGTGTACCTGGGTAGTTGTGTGAGTGCTGGCGGAGGGGTGACGGACGAGATTTCCAACCGTATAATGAAGGCTAGGGTGGCATACACCAACTTGAGCCACCTCTGGCGCCATCGCGACGTTAGCCTGGTTGTCAAAGGTCGGGCATACAATGCTTCGGTGCGGGCTGTCTTGCTCTACGCCTGTGAAACCTGGCCTCTCCGAGCTGAGGATGTGCGGTGACTCTGCGTGTTCGACCACCGCTGTCTCCGCAGGATTTCTTGCGTTCGATGGAATCATCGCGTGAGTAATTCTGAGGTTCGGCGGCGTGTGTTTGAACACAGTGGAGATCACCATTCATTGAGTGTTGTCATCTGGAAGCACCGGCTCCGGTGGCTTGGACATGTGCTGCGAATGTCATCCCAGAGGCTTCCGTACAGGTCTCTGTTCGCTAGCCCTGGGACGGGATGGAAAAGGCGGAGAGGTGGTCAGTCCATGGCGTGGCGTCGTGGGATGAAGGGTTTTTGTGCTAGATTAGCATCGGTTGGTGTCACGACTCCCTGGTTGGGGTCCGAGAGATAGCTCAAATCGATGGCTCGAAACGTTATCGGATATGACCAAGAATCGTAATCAATGGCGGACGTGTTGCAATTTCCTTCTTTCTTCCCTTCCCGATGATATTGAACGAATACTGTTTGAACTTGTTAAGCATGACTGTCTTCCTTCCAGACGAAGTTCTTTATCCGTTCTCTACTTATATTTTTTTCTTTTCCTTCCTTTTTTCTTTTGATCTATGTTGTTTTATTATTATTGTGTGGCGCATCCTTATTGGTGCCATATTGTAGTACCAAGTTTTTATGCGTTTAGATAAATAATTAAATAAAAGTATTAAGTAAGCGAACATAAGGCCTGGCATAGTGACATCTTGTTCTGAGTTGTCATTTCACAGCAACTTTCACACTGGAGTCTGTGAAAATGAAATGAGGTGATAAAGTAATATGTCACAAAGCTGGCAGACGGAAAGGAAAATAAAGAAAATAAATGGGTTAAGTGTTTGCTCATTAAATAAATTATAATTATATTTCAATAGTTTACACACAATGATAAGTTTTTGTTAATTGGTAATATTGCAAGCAAAATTACTGCCCGTGATCACACTAACTGGTAACTGCTGATAACAGCTAATTCAGTAAACAATTCCAAGGATAAATTAAACCTCCAGAGACATCGTTTCACAACTAAAAAAACTACGCTTGTAACTAAGCCTCTATGAAAGACGGAAAAATCTAAGTGCATTTCTATCCTAATTTTAATAGCTAAGATTACAACGTTTCGAGTAAGCAAGCAAGATAACACAGGAATAATACTACCAAGGGCATGCACGAATAGACAACAGCAAACGGTGGTGAAACATAGGTTGCTGTTCAGAATTCCTATGATGAAGTCATGAATTGCCAGCAATTTTCGATATCTCAGGATAACTATGCATGGTTCAGAGCATCATTTGGGGAATTCGTAGACTAGTGTGTGGTGAGTATATCTCAATTATGTTAGTTTATTTTTATCGCAACAAACAATCCGCCCGTCATCTACACCAGTGAGACTACTTCCCTGTGAGACCCTCATTAAACAATCTACACCTAAACAAGAAAATGAAGTCATGCTCGAGGACCCCAGGCGCACTAAACTTGAACTAGTCAGAACACAATGACAAAATTAACCGACCACAAAATATACAAAGGCTTGAAATTCGTTATCTGAGATAATTATATTCAGTATGCTAGTTACAGAAATGTCTGTCTTGGAGTTAAAGCAATTTTTGTGAGCAAACTTACCCATGTGACTATAAGTCACCATAACAGCTACGCAACGACCTGATGGATTTTTCTAAAGTCACAGGCGTTCGTTTGTTCAGGTTCTTGTAGTACAAGGTTGCCTAGTATTTCATGTGGTTTTATAACATGAAAATGGTTCTACAAAATTACCTATGATCAGATATATATAAAACTTTGCTTCTAAATGTGCATCTGGTAATAACATCGAGAATATTGACTCACCTATGTTTTTCATGCCGATGAGAATGCCCACTAGATTTATGGTGAGAAACATCGTAATTTCGATCTGAATGCCTCTTATTTTCATCCTCTTGAGTGCAGCTGGCATCCAAAAGTGCTTGACATTTCCGAAGGCGTATTTTTTCTTCCAGTTTCTTTTGAACCGGGACAGGGATGCGTGGGAATAGGGTGGAGAACCAATCAAGTTTAGTCAGCCATTGCTCTATCATGTGGCCTATCGTCATAACACAACCGCCCCCTGCTTTCACATCCAACTCCTGAAATAAAATAAACCTCTATGAAATTCTGAACAAAAAACACTTAAAGCGCATATGTTGAGATTCTTACAAGCAATAGACTAGACGACTGCCCCCAAAAGACCGGCAACCCGTGTGAGTCAGGAAGTGCTACGGGACAGATAACTTATCTTTTACTTACCTCAGGATCACCCCAATAAGGTGAATACCACCACCAGAAGTCTTCAGGAGGTATACAGTATCTAAAATGTAGCTATATCGGGTATTAACTAACGCAAACCTTATATACATAAAGCCCAAAGCTCGTATATATGGAGAATCAGGATGATCTAAAAGGCCCTTGAGTTGTTTTCTAGTCAGCTTCAACGTAAAAAGTTTATAAAGAAGGCAATAAGCAGTTGACACGATACCACCTGCTCCCACTCCTCGGACGCCACCACACATGCCAGTCTGACCACCGATACGCCTACTTCCACGTTCCCATGGCTCTAAGTGCTCCACCTAGGAGACAAAATTAGGATATTAGACAGATGTATAACCTTATAGTATATCTCATCAATAACCTCGTGATATGTTTTCAATTCAACTAGATTGGCTTTGAAGTATGGGGACTGAACAATATTTGTATAAATCATAGTATTTAAATTCATCGTCTGCTGGTTTCCCCAAAGCTTCAAAATATTTCCACGGGGTGCCTGTTGATCTGTATCATCCGCCCCAGCGACAAGCCCCAAATGGGGGAAACCTGCTGCCATTCTGCTCTCTCAACTGCAACGCAATATCCTCAAGATTCTTGTGAACTTTTAGTATAAAACAGCTGCCGATCTTCAACTGACGCTCTTGAATAAATCAGCTGAAGATCTAACCACTAGTGTCCCTAGTGTGAATCTGATAACAACGTCTGGTTTTACAACAGCCGCTGTAATCCTTATTTCGACCATCCAATATCCAATACTCATTTTATAAGCTAGCGTGAACTAAACTGATTTCTGTGGGCTTGGTTGTAAAGTGAAAGTCCATGATTTTCGGTAAAATTCTGCATAGCTTAACTCGCCACTCTCCTGCAACAGTTGTCAGTGAGGAGTTTCAGGATGGAAAACTTTAAGCGAAAAGAAATCACAAAACACTGCAGTCTTTGCCCAGTGGTGCACTTATGGGTTACGATGAGGAAATCAGTGATTAATTATTGGTGAGATACACGCGTTTATGTGATTCTGGTCATTTGTGATCTTAAAACAGCGGTTTTATCACTCCTAAGTGTAAAGAATTTGCAACCTTTCGTCGAATGATAACCTTTCTTTGTATCCATTTCCAATATCCAATATCCTGATTACGAGCTAGTATAGACCATTGATTTCTTTGAGCTCGCTTCTTGATTGTGAGGTAGAGGTCCCAGATCTTCGGTGAGCTTCTGCGTAGTAAGTCCCGCCACTCGACTGCTTTATCTCTGGTGGACTCCAAGAGGTGTGGTGCGGGGATTGGTCAAGTTGTGGTTTGTAGTATGCAGTATGTTAGGACTGTGTTGCTGCCGTGAGTGGAGTTTAACCTAACTCCCGTTGGTCATTCTGTGTAGTCATAAAAGCAGAATAATAATAATAATAGCTCGTAGTGCAGATAATATATTTTTACTGATATTAATATATTTTGGGATAGGTGAAATAATAAAGGTGACCTAAGGAAAAGATAGAGTAGTCGGTACAGTGAGAGAAGGCAGAACAAGTCATGGGGATTTAGTTTGTATGCTTATCTATTGACAGTGTGGTTTTAAGTTTTATGAAGATAAGCCATTGAGACACAAACCTTGCATTTCTGCATGATTGTCTAGCTTCCGCTTAAAAATCTCCACAGATGGCGCTGTAGTCACGGCCGCCGGTAAAGCGTTCCAGAGACGGCAAACACGAAGCGAAAAGAAATGTGATCGCACTCGAGTCTTTGGTCTCTGGTGTGCTATCCTTAGCGGGTTACCTCGTGGAAGCCTATAATCACTTAATGGCAGGATGCTTTTATTTGGGTGGGCCTGGTCATTTAGGATCTGGAGACGGTGATGAGGTCTCCCCTGTGCCTACGGTAACTAAGTGTGAAAAGACCTAATTTCTTTAGTCTTTCCTCATATGATTTGTTGCGGAGGCCGATCACCCATTTTGTCGCTCGTCTCTGGACACTTTCTAGAATGTTAGCATCCCTTTTGAGTAGCGGAGGTGCAATGATATTATGCACCTCAAGGTGTGGCCTCACATATGCCTTATATAGCCTTAAGAACAGTTCGGGAGTGAGAGCTCCCAGCTGCCTGTGCATAAAGTGTAAAGTTGCGTAGGCTTTGGCGACGTCCCTCGAGTAATTTCCACTGGTGTCTAGCTTTTCTGTTAGAATAAGACCTAGATCTCGCTCTGATGGAACACAACTCAAGTTCTGGCCACCAAGGGTGTAATTTACACTCTGTGACCTGCCGGAATGAAGTTGCACTACTTTGCACTTCTTTAGGTTGAAAGGCATTCCGTTAGCCAGAGCCCAGTTTCCCAGAGTTTGCAGGTCAGCCTGCAATCTATCTGAGTCTTCCGATGAGTTTATTGCTCTCCAAATCTTTACGTCGTCAGCGTAAAGAAGCGCAGAGCAGTTTAGTTGGGAGGGCAGGTCGTTGATAAAAATCAAAAACATCAACGGCCCTAGGATAGAACCCTGAGGAACCCCTGATGCCGAGGTGTGCCAGGATGATCGGATGCGGTTGACTTTGGTGCAGAATTCTCTCTCGCCTAAGTAATCTTTCAGCCATGCGAGAAGTGCTCCAGAAACACCCGCCTTGCTTATTTTGTGAAGGAGCAGACCATGGTGAACTGTGTCGAATGCTTTCGCAAAGTCGAGAAAGATCACGTGGGCTGGTACCTTTTTGTCCCAGGATAGTGTCCAATCGTTCCAGGCTAGTAGAAGATTCGTCACGCAGGATCTTCCCCTCCTGAAACCGTGCTGTGCTTCGTGAAGAAGGTTAGTCCCATCGAAGTATTTTCTCATGTGGTCGTCAATGAGACTTTCCAATATCTTCGATATCACTGGAAGTAGAGCAACTGGTCTGTAACTGGTCGCATTCTGCCGGTCACCACCCTTGAAGATAGGGGATAGGATTGCTCGTTTCCATTCACATGGAAGTTTCCCTACATCAAGAAAGCTTAGGGGTTGGCAGAGACTTTCTGAACACTGCTTCAGGACAGATGGTCTGATGTCATCACAACCTGAAGACTTTCCCGAAGCCAACCTTCCCAATTTTGCAAGTACCATAGCCGGGGTAATTTGAAATGTACCCAGCAGGTTTTCGCGTTTGGTTTTGCGATGTAATCTTGATGTTCTGTGGGGTAATATCCTCGTTACTGTTTAGTTGCCTGTGAAAGGCTAGGCTGAATGTCTCTGCCATTTCAAGACTAGTAAGAGATTTCCCATCAGAACCCACTAGATTGCATGCTCCCTGGTTGGTCGGTTTTCTTTCGGACATAAACCTGTATAGGCTTTTGGGGTTCACGAGAAGCTTATTGGCGAGGTCTCCCTGAAATGTCCTTCTATCGCTCCGGACTCGTATGTTACATCGATTCCTGAGTTCAAGGTACACTTCATGTTCGGGTTGACTCTTCGATCGTCGCCACGCAAACCAGGCTTTTCGCTTCGCCTGCAGAAGGCGTTGTGTCCCCCTTTTAGCCATGATCGTTGCTTCCTAGCTTTTGGTGTGACTAAAGGAACAGTGTCTGAGACCGCCTGGTGAATGATCTCCTTTACCACTCTCCAGTGTTCTTCTACTGTTAGCTCTGTCCATTTTTAGGCCAATTTGCTTCAGACAGAAGTCTTCGCATTTTGGTGTAGTTGGCTTTGTTATAACACAGATAGGGCTGTGTATTGTCCCACTGTAAGCGCTCGCGGAGGACTATGTCGAATACTATGACCGCGTGGTCACTACTACCTATGGGAGTCGTGATCTGAACGTTTTCCACTAGTAGCTGGTCACTAGTGAGCACGTAATCCAGTCTAGAAGACTTCCCATCAGGGCCCCATCTAGTATCCATCTTGACATTTTCAGTGAATCCAGCCTTCCTGATGGTATGCAGCAGATTTCGATCAAATCTATCATGGGCTTTTCCCGACACCAAGTTAAGAGATGGGGCATTGAAGTCACCAGCTATGACAATTTGATCATAACCCATGTCTTGAGTTGCTGAGATTGTATTTAGCAGTACCTGGTTGTGGTCTGCTCCACATGAAGGTGATCGATAAATGCTGCCCACTAGATATTTGCAGTACCCAACGGTGAAGTGGCACCATATGGAGTCAGGGAGCTCTGTGAGGGGAGGGTCCATTGCGTGAACACATCTGAGCTGTTTGTCCCTTTCTTGAACCCTTTCCGACAGTTTTGAGTGCGTTTTGAGCACGAGGTAGACAAGGACATTATGCTATTACTGATATTATGATATTATTGAAAGGGACGTTCTATTCCCTCTCCAGGAAGAAAATATCTATTTTGTTAGTTATCCAGTTGGTAAACCTAATCTTCCTAACTGGTGAGTCTAATTCAACCACTGCTTACATACTGAATCCCTCAATGGTAAACCCAGCTGTCATCAACAAATACCAAAGCTTCAGATGCCACTTTTGTAGTAACATCTTCATCAGATAAACAAGACATTTTAGTCTGCTAAGTAATTCTTGTGAGACTGATAACTCCATGTTCTGGGTGAAGTATAAGACCTTTTTCTAAAACTCTATCAGTCATTCTGCCTTCACTCTGTAATAAGCAAAGCAGCAGACACACAGGTAGTGAAAAAGAACACAAACTGTGCAGGGGAACATTTATTTCCCGAAACCAACTTTTAAGAAACGGCGGGAGTCCAGTCTTAGAGTATGACAGTTTTACTGGTCTTCGTAAATGTTTAGGTTCCTCAATTCGTGTATCTTCTGGTTCAGATAGTTGACTCCCGAGTGTCTTCTTGCAAGTAAAGAAAATAAAACATTGATTAGTGTTAAAATACAGCTTTTGTTTTTATTACAGCTTTACTCGGTAGATTCTGCCACCATTTGTTTTATTGTTACTGAATCATAATCAGTAATAATCAATAATATGACATTCGAATCTAGCCCTAAGGAGAGCATTGTCATATCGTATTCTGAAGTGATCAGAGATTCATCGAGGGGAGGAGGCCCAACTAATGTCGTCCCCTATACCGGCTCTTAAAGCTCGAACACGTCCTTTCCTACGATATTATGCCTACATCCCCACACTCCAGTATCGAAACTGTACAGGTCGAACCAAGCGGTACTACACCTGTCTTCGTAGGTAGCCAATGTGTCACGCATAACAAGTATACGAAGAACCCCCAGGATGCTATGAAACCCCTAAGGAGTTTCCCAGGAAAAGAGACTACTCCCAGATTCGTAGTTCTGTTGTCCACAAAGTGACTGGGCATTTGAATGCACTTTCTGCAAGCGGTGTGAACTGCTGTCACCACAAAAGAGTGTCGAAACAATTTCGGGAGTTGATGCAAAATAATACACGCACATGGTTGTGGTACATACTCTCACTTTGTCGCCATGACACTATATCATGAAGCGTTTCATTGGAAAACAAAAACAGCACACCACCACCGTATAGACGATACTCCAGCGCCCCATATTAGGAGTATCCACCCACAGAAAGTGAAGACACTTAAAGTCATACCGCGTCAGCACTCGACTGATGTAAACCTTGGAAGCATGGTGTAGGAGCAGCTAGAGCTCTGAAATTGCGAAAGGACCAGTGGCATCCGGCAGGTCGCGTAGCAGCGTGACACAGAGCAATCACACCCTGAGTGAAACCGATCGTTGAGAGGGAGGCGAGCAGATAAGGACTAAACCTAAGCTCAGGATCAGTCAATCACACTTTCCTATTCCGTTTCGTATACAACTCTGTAGTGACAGCCTGCTTGAA